TATATTAAAATGATTTCTGAAGGATCATGTGACTGGAGTAATGATGCTGAAAATTCAGCTCTGCCATCACTGTAATAAATTGCATTTTAAAATAAATTGAAAATAGAAATGATTGAATTAGGAATATAAGAATATTCTGCTCTACGTCAGATAAAAAAGATTTTTGTAATGAGAAATTATTTATATTTTTTCTATGCATTTTTGCTTCAATATGTAAATAATATCAACTTGGATATGCCCACTGTTGTCTCAGTGGAAGCCTATAGTAGAATCATCATCTCTCTCTTGGTTTATACATTTCTATTGTTGCATGCTGCCATCATAACACCCCGGTGTTTGGTTAAGCAGGCTGAATTCAGTAGCTTATATGTCTGTGGTTTGTAGATTTCATACAACTGTAAAACAATGAGATTTGCTCCAGTGGTAGAGCAAATGGTTCAGAAACAGCAGAGCAGGACTCTTCTAAATCCTTTCAGCTCTTACACTTACCCGCACAAAAACGACCTTTGAATTCATATTTTTAGAAGTTCTGTGGACGAGTGTAAAACCCAAAAAAACAAAACAAAAAAAACCCCCCGGCCCCATATTTTTGGTATGGTAAGAAATGCAGGACCAAGAGTATTTACATTTTCAGCTTTGTCTACATCCTCTTTTAAAATCCTGTCTTTTCCTAAACCCAGACACATTCCATGAAACAGATAAATTGCTGTGCAAACTGTATGCGGTTGGCCTGCCTGTTTGATCTGAAGCTCTTAAAAGGTCTTTCTATAACTTCACCATTTTTCCTAGGCTTAGCTTTCGCTCTGTTGCCATAACAAATCAGTGATCCTGGGATGATATTTCTTCTCTTCTGTCACACAGAAAGGCCTTCAGAGGTTCTATTTTTGATTTTTTTCTCTCTGTGAAACAAGCTTACCTGGCAACAGATCTGGACCAGATACACTGACTCCTTTGAGTCCAGGCCATTGTGTGTGAGGTGGTTCTGATCCTCAGATAAAGATAGCTGTGGAGAGACACACAGAGAGGGAGTCTGAATTGTTTAAGATCCGTACTCCTATCACAATATACTCAACAACAAATAACCAATATCATGTCAAAGGGAGACTACAAAAGCAATAAACATTGTTACATACTACAAAAAAAGGGTGCAAAATTAAGTTCATCACGAATCACACATCAATGTTCCTATGTGGCACCAAAAAGGGGGAAAGTAACCAAAATATTATCAAGGCTCTAAAATTTCAGCTTATTTTCGGTTTACTTTTGTTTATTAATGCTGATATACGGTTGACTTAAAAATATCTGGACATTTAAGCAACACAGTAGAATCACATAGCATAAAAAACTTCAGATAAATAGTTTATAAAAGCCAGATTGGGTTTTAAATTATTAATATTGCTTAAAATGTAAATAAAAAAAAAGCATTGTGACACTGTGATACATCAGTGACTTCATACATCTATTAAAAATCACCTCAAGACCAGTTGGTTGCAAAATCGCAAGAGTAAAGTTAGATGTGAGAAAATATGTAGCATAATTTATATATGTTATATCATGTATACAAAATTCAAACATGTTCAAAAGTCTTAAAATACTCGTTGGCCCACTGTATATGGCCATTTAAATTTAATAAAAAAGACAAATATGATAAATATGAAAAAAATAAATATGCTAAAGTTAAAACAAATAATTGGTATTAACGTTGTCTTCTTCAACCACTTCACATCCAAAATTTCAGTCGGCACTAAAAAATGTTTTTTATCAAAATGCAAAGATTGTGTAAAACATTCAAGACTAAGGCCTAACGTGGTGCATCAAAGCATGAAAACAGTAGAAGAAATTGACATGTTATAGCTAAAATCATGATATAAAGCAAAACTAAAAGCATTAAAATTAATAATGGCATGTAAAAAATCTTGACTAAAGGTCATCAGCTCCAGAGAGAGAATGAGAGAAATACAGACACATGCTCTCGCTTGCAGCTTGAACTGTAGTAGTGGCACAGCTCAAACATGACGATGGATTTTTAAAGACTGAAGAAACAACAGGCCCTGATGAGTGACACACAGACAACAAGACATCTACACATGACAGAAAGAAGAAACGGGTATATGCAGGTACAGTGGGGCAAAAAAGCGCAACTGTCCTTTAAAAAAAAAATCATGACGTCAAATATCAAATATTTTTGCTCCCCAAAAGTTTTATGTAATTTAATAAATTGCAGCGTTTTGAGCACAAGCCATCTTCGTCATGTTTACCAAATTAGTCGAATAAATTAACATCTACACAATGCCTTGATTATCAGTGGGAAACGTTGTGTATATGTACACAGATATAATAACTATAATAAAAAATCTAATCTTTTTTTTCTTTCTGACATTTTAAAAATTATTAAAATTTAGTTATTTTAAGTTATTTTAAAATGTAATCATTTTTAACATTATAACAGTTTCTACTGTATTTTTTAGATCAGATAAATTCAGTTAAGATAGGTGAGCATAAGAGAATTCCTTCAAAAACATTAAAAAAAAAAAAATCTTACCAACCCCAAACTTTTGAACAGTAATATAGGGGAGCCATCGGTTTACAGATATTGCCATTATCTAAGAAAATGGACAGTGGTAATGCTAAAGACATTTGTATAAATATAACATTTTGGGGAGGAACAATGACGTTGAAATCCAAACAGCTAGCCAAGATGTTTTCCACAGTCTGAAGATCTTGCAGGATAGCAACTAACCTGACAGAGACTAATGTGTATTGCATGTAACTTAAACCACAGCCCTAATTTCAACATGATGGATAATCCGCCACCAGTGAAACGAAGAACACAGCCAAGAGCCTAATTAACACATTCCCGTCAACCATGAGTGATCATGGCCTTCAGCAGGACTGCATTTACCATAAAACCCTCACCTGCACAGAGCCAAAGTCAACAATCTCATAGTGGAAGTGGGCACATTCTGCCAGAGTGGGAAAATGGCCTTTGGTGAGGGACAATCTGCAAAACAAAAACAGCTCATCATTATTCCGCTCTATGTGTCTGAAAGAGACAAAACAAAGACCGAACTCTTCCCTTTAACGTATAAACACCTACTTTTTGACGTTCTTGACCTTCATGCTGGCCGTGCTGGCACATGAGCGCAGAGAAGATTCAGTAGGCAGTTCAGGGACCGTCGGCGCTCCTCGTGCCTGCGTGTATATGAACACGCACATGTAAACAAACGATTATGCAGCACAATGCATGAAGCGTGACTAACAGAAAGGCAGTACACACACACACACACACACACACACACACACACACCATAACAGCAATGGCGTCCTCCCAGCCTGCAGTCTCTGCTGGCTGCAAGCTTCTATCTTCCTCCCCCTCATCCTCCTCTGGGTGTGGCCTTAAAGAAAAGAGAATCAGAGAGGGGTATGTTGAAATAAGCTTCTCCTATGACATACATACATCTACATCGCATCAGTCGGCACAAAGCAATCACACCAATGAAATTCCTGAGCTAGGATTGTTTTGAGTTTTCTGTAGAACACAAAATAAGATGTTTTGCAGAACGTTCAAGCTGCCCTTTTCCAATCAATTGAATCATTTAGTGACCAGGGGTTGTCAAACGCTTAAAAAAAAAAATACTTAAAAGTCGGCCACATGACTACTAGTACACTATATTCCTGGTCTTCTATAAGCCATACAACCGGGAACAGACACACACACACACACACACACACACACACACACACACACACAAAAG